GAATCGAGGACCTATAGGTTGATTGAACTATCTATAGATTCAAGTAAAGTAGAATATTGTCTTTTTGAAGTAAAGTCTGACTGCATTGTTAGTGCGGTGGCTGGGCAACTGGCAGCCGTGCAACCTGTCGCGAGTTCCATTCCCGCACGAAAAAACTCTTTGTGTGATCCACAGATTGCTGTTTCGGGTCTGGGTGTCATGTGTATGTGAACTTGTATGTTTGTAAACGCACCCACGACACAGGAGAAAATCCTAGTGTGAGTAAAAAAAAAAAGAAAGTAGTGGAAAGCACTATTGCTGTAATGTGGCAAGACTACGTAAAGTGAAGCATACATAGAGACCTGGGAGCAGCATTCTCTGATAACCTGAACCTTTTTAACTGCGGTCTTCAACTCTCCTGGGACACCTGGAGTTGATAGAAACCCTCAATTATGTAGAAGAGGCTTATTGTCTAGCAGTAGACCGTCACACGCTTTTAATGCCGAGAACATAAAGCGAATGGATAAAGTCTATATACTAACCGGAGTCAGTAATTTTCTATTTGCGCAAATATTAATTCGTGCTTATAAATAGTTCTCTAAAACTGATTTAAAATTGTAACACAGTATACGTTTCAATGAAACTAGATTGTAGTCTCAGAAAAAAATATTCACGTTGCAAAATATGGAATTCCTTAGATTCTTGAGCTGCAGTTTTGAAATGTCCACATGCGACGTGCGAGACTGGTTTAAACAAGTTAATGAAAGTAATATTAGATAGTAAACAAGTAAATGAAAAGAAGAACATAAGAAAAAAAAGAAAATGTATGAAAAAGCACGACATACATATATCTATGTTCATAGGCATGTGTGTGTGGAGATGTCGTCGGCGTCACGGGCGTCAGTGTCACGGTAAGTACCGCCTCGCCGTGCTTCGTCACGCCACGCATTACAAATTCTAATCATACTAGACACCATTAATGACACGGGTGACGCGTGTGTATCACTAAAAGAGTATTAAAGAAAATTAAAGCAAGTTGAAAATGTAACTTCTAAAAGGATTTTGGTTTTAAAAGAGCTATTAGGAAGATTTTGATATTAGTGTAGGCTGTAGGCGTAGATTTAGAGTTAGGCTTTTAAAAGAAACGATTTAGGGTACTCTTTACCATTCTATAGTACTTCTCTCTATCAAAAATCCTTCTCTTAATTTTGGTTTTTGAGTCAACATGTCTTTTGTCCACTCCGCACAGGCCAGTAATATTTCTTTTATATTCCGTTTCTCGTTCACTTATGTACAGTACCTACCTACTTTATTGTAATAACAAATTATCCTCGTTTTGCAGAGTTCTGGATAAAGCTCACAGTACCTGCAAGTCAGGTAAAACTTTTTGCCCACAACTATACACTCATATACTTTTCATGAATATATTTATTCAACAAGCAAGGCTCACGAAGCTTGCTTGCAAGAACGGGAGCAATTTACAAACATATTGCTAACGTACATCAGAATATGAAAACAGCTGCTAATCATGTTAAACAAATATGTCGGACAAGGGCGTTGCTATGGTTTCATGGGGTGCATGCCACCTGGCGCTTCTCACATCGAAATCCCTACCATCGTATGAAACTTTTAGCTTGCATGGAAATGAGAACAAAAGGAAACATAGTGACGTAGTGAGCGGTCGATTGTCTGCCAGTTAGCTACGTATGTGTTTCAATCGAGTGGCAATATTCAACTGCCTGCGAACATCTTGTCCTTGACTTTTACAAACTTCCACAGATAATAATTACCCTGCATCTGTGGTTGTGTAAGTATCGTACGAAAATTTGGACCTCTTTGGAATCTTAATTGTAATTTGGTAGGCTGTTTTGTTATTGTGTAAGTACATGAAAGTATGTTGTAAATATTTTGTTATTTTAGAGTTTTTTAAGTACCTAATAGTAGTTATATGGATACAAGAAATAATGCTAACTTTGCTAAAAGCAGACGTTTCTAATAAACCCGCAAGCTAGCTAAGACTATTTGGAAGAGTGCCAGAAAGTTATACTCATTATTCATTATTTTTAAAAGAGCCCGTTTCTCTTTAAGTTATCATACGTAGTAGAAAAAATACTTTGCATTTGGCCCCAGGTTGTTGAACAGTTGAGCAGGTTACCTGATATTGTGTGCAGTGTGCATGAAGCTGGGCTCGGCCTTCGGTGTATACCGCCTAGTTCAAATGTCACTATGCAGACAAGCCGGGCCGGATGCTTCATTCGTATATGCAATTATGCATTTATACACTAAACTGAGTTTATATATGATTTTGCAACCGTCAAAGAAAAATGACTAAATGGGGGACGTTTTCTTGGATGGAGAATGAAGTTTTTGATGTGTGGGAAAATGCAATAACACAACTGGCAAAAAGTAGGTGTGAGGTTGAAATCTTTCAGGAACATCAAATGTAATGGTATATTTAGGTATCTTTTATCTATATATATAAAAATGAATCCCTTTTTCCCTTGGTCACGGCATCATGCGTGAATGGCTGGACCGATTTCCCTAATTCTTTTTTGTTATTGTAGTGTATCTATAACTTTAACCGATCATCTCATATATCATGATATATGTTATTAATATATTTTAAACAAAAAAATATTAACAGTTTATATTTTTTACTGTCGTGTAGATATAAATTACTGAAAATATATATAGTAGGTAATAAAATATGGATAGTTTTCATTTGATATTTACTAGAATATTTGCACTTTATATTCATTCGATACGATACGAATTAGTCATCAATGATAAATTGCTGTTTAAAATATGCAGGACGGTCGAATGAAATATTTAGTCGAAATATTTGTTAGTTTTGATAGTTTCGAACTGTACAACATTGATCATGTCATATTTATGGAACTAGATTACGATCGTGTTATTTATTTATTGGTCGTGAAGTCATTACTGTTTTGCTGTAGCCTATTTCTTAAGATACGCGAATCTAACAGTGCAACCGAATTTTAGGGCCATCCATATTATATGGCACTCTCAGTATCCAAAACATTACAATCCGAAACTGTACTTTGTACTTGGTTTATGGAGAGATATAAATACATTATTTATCATATAAATTATAAGGTACCATCATGACTACGCCTAAATCAGTTTTAACTACACTTATTTATCCGTAAGAGTCACGTAGGGACTGCGAAGGCGTGGGAAATAAATAAAATATTGCAAAATATGTTCTTCATTCTTATGTTCGTATCTTAAGTTGTTCTTACCGATTAAAACAAAACCAAAAAAGCCAAAAAAGCTTCGGACCATTCTTTATGTAACTGTCCTTGCAACATGAAAGGGAACAAAGCTTTTGCATGAGTTACCATAAATAAACATTAAACATTTACAATAAAAGATTGTCGTAGTGGCCCGGAGGTTTAAGACGCCCACTTCTGATGCATGAGGGTGCGGGTTCGAAACCTACCAACGGCAAGTACCAATGTGACTTTTTCCGAGTTATATGTACTTTCTAAGATTATTTAGACATCACTGACAAACGGTGAAGGAAAAACATCGTGAGGAAACCTGGACTTATAATTTCTAATTATAAGTTTGAAATCGCCAACCCGCATTGAGCAAGCGTGGTGATTAACGCTCTAACCTTCTCTGTGTGAGAAGAGGCTTTGCTCAGCAGTGGGCATTAATTATAGGCTGTTGATGATGATGATGAATAAAAGATTCAGAGCGGCATTGGCATTCAGGGATATGCAGATATACATACAAAGGTGCATGCAGTAAGTATGTGCACCAAAATCGATAAGGTTCGTTTTCTTTTTTTGCGATCAAGTGCCTGCAAGCGAGCTTCAAGTTCTTCGGTCTAATTCCTAACTAATTTTAGGAATTTTTATAAATGGAGTCTAAAGGTTCCTCTTTATTAGTCGATTTTGATGTACGTTATCTCGAATTGTATTGTAGGTATTATGATAAAAAAATTAAATCGTTTATTAAACACAAAAACTTTCAAAAAATGTAACATGTTGTCAACATCCAATGTTTACATTATTACACAATTATAGTAATATATAAATTTTAATACTAATATCATTTGGCGACTTACTTTAAAAAAATCAAAGATTAAATTAGGATTACCTTGTATAGAAGTATTTAGGTATTTTTTTTATATATTAGAGCGACCCGCCTGAGGTAGGTTTTAGTAAAAACATATGTTTCAGGTGTGTTTCAGGTATAATTAATTACTTTGTGTACTTTATTTAACTACTTCTCTCAAGATCAACGGTGTGGTATTCTGTTATATTTAAAGTACAACAATTCAATAAACGAAATCGAAAATGATTTTTTAATATGCGAAAGTTACCATTGTGTGGCGAAAGGCAATACGGTGAATGGTACGAAGAGAAGGTATCGGTATGATTGTCCTATTGTATTATTGTCAAAATGTAACGTACTATGTTATATTTTGGTTGCTGTCACTCAAGAAAAGGTCTTGTTTATGTATTGCAATTGTTTATATGTCATTCGCTTGTTGAAATCTTTTAGAAGAGCTATGCTTTGCTATGTTTGTCTTGCTGTATGCTGTATATAGGTACAAATCTGATCTAGAAGTCGATCTGAGAGGCCTATGTGGTGAAGTAGACTGATATGATGAAGATGATATAAAAGCATAAATAATTATGCACAAAATGTTATCCAAGTTGAAAGATTTACTATGACTATGAGTTATATCTATAATGACCTATATAGGTCATCGGATCTGTCCCTGCCTAACCCTTTAATCGAATGTGGATTGATATGTTTAATGAGTGGTTACAAAGAAAGTCAAATGCTATTAATAAGTAAACTAAAGAATAATTATGAGTATATCAAATGATTGAAAGTACAACAAGTAAGATAATGATGATTAATTAATATTATTACTAATCTACGAGTGGACCAAAAAGCCATACAAGCACATTTATTAATGAATTTAGATTTAGATAGACAAACAGCCAACGAGAGTGATGTAAAGTAATTGTATAGCTTACGATTGTAACCACTCGGTTCCAAGTCCGCCTCGAAAGGCGGGGGCGAGTACTTTTTGCTCCTACCTGAAACAATAGAAAATACATTAGATTAGTATTTAAATCAAATAAAAATTAAGCTAGATCTATTAGGTACTTCTGACGCCAGATTCAAGTCTTCATCGATGGATGCCTGGGTCCCAATTTCGGAATTTACTGGCTCAAGATCATCTCCAACACAGCAACAACAACAGCTTTTGGAGAAATGCCAAGAAAGTCCCATATACCGCCAGATTAAGCGCCGCATGTGGGGATGGATAGGCCACATGCTCTGAGGGGGTCCCGACCACATACCCAAGCGAACCCTTGGATTGGAATCCCCAAAGGGAAAAGAAAGCGTGATCGTTCTCGACAAATCTGGCGTCGCACCATACTGGCAGAAGCGACGAGCATCGGTATGTCGTGGAGTGAGGTGAAGCGTAAAGCCCAAGACAGATCGCGATGGAAAACTTCAGTGGACGCCTTCTGCCCCATTTAGGGGTCAGAGGATATTAAGTAAGAAACTAAGTATGTACTTCTAAGGTATTTAAGGGTATATATGTAGATGTATACGGACGAGTCGCCGCAGTAGCTTTACCATAACCGAAATGGACTAAGATTGATTTCGTAGGTTCTAAGTCAGTTACCTAAACACTCAAGACAAAACTAAATTCAAAATCAATTCGATCTTAGTTTTTAACAAAATTTTCATACGACTATTATGAAGATTTTGTTAAAAACTTAGTCCAAAGATTTTAGATTGATATTGAGTGATTTGTCATACAGGTTGTTGCAAGAAAGGTAGACTACTATCTTAACATAATTACAGACTCATTTTATCATTAAAATCTTATTAGTAAACCATCAAAACAACACAAAGCCACACTACCATGTTCAAAACATAATTTAGAGAATATTTTTCGAAATACAATCAACTATGACCCAACCTGTCATATTGAATTATTCTTAATGTGATTATTTGGCAACGTGTAGTACCAAATATTATAGACGAATTATTTTGAACTACCACATAAGTAATAAGGCTTATTACTGATATTATCGTGTTTATCAAACCCCATAATCGTTATAGTTGCGAAAACTAAACCAAAGAATCAAATACTTCTTCAATTTGCTTGAACTTTGAACTTCACATGGTCAGACGGTTGGATCTGATTGTTCTCATAATGTGAGTCTCACGTTTGATGCCGACCTTCACACTTTGTGCTCTATTTTATTATAAAGATTACAAGTTAATTTAATTATGTTGCTCATAAAGATAGGTTAAGTACCTATGCAAGTATAGGTTACAGTTTTTTGTAAGTCTGGTGTCTAAGTTTTAGTTTTATGTGATTAAATTCTGTTTTTGTCGGTTTAACCTAAAAAATGTGATCTTACGTTTTTTATGGGATAAGTCGGTAAACAAGGACACGGTACATCTGATAAACTAGACGGTAGACTGCCTCGTTGGCCGAGTGGTCGCAAGTGCGACTGTCGGACAAGGGGTCTCGGGTTCGATTCCCGGGTCCGGCAAAGTATTACTGGGTTTTTAAAAATCTCAGTAGTAGCACAGAGTCTGGAAATATGTCCGGTATATGGCAATAGGCTCATCCCCTATTACATGGGACTCATAACATAAATAGTGAAAAGTGGGTGTTACATTGTACAGTGGCATTAAGTGCCATAATGTACACCTCTGCCTACCCCATCGGGGATAAAAGGCGTGATGTTATGTTAGGGTACACCTGATAGTAAGCAATCGGCGTCGCCCATGGACACCCGGAACACCAGAGGCGTTAAAAATGCGTTACCGGCCTTTTGGGATTAGCAAATTTAGGCTTCCGGTAACCTCACTCACACGACGAAAGAAAACGCGAGCGTTGTTTCACGTCACTTTTCTGTGAGGCCGTGGTCTCCGGTCGAGCCGGCCTATTTCTGCCGAAGCATGGCTATTATGGTCTACTATAAAGCTCCTCTGTTTTTAATAACGACTCTACTGTACGATCTTTAGAGAATTCGTATAAAATTTGTTCCGATTACAACATTATGCGTAATCGTTGATCTAATACATGGTGCTCAATCCAAAAAGCCTACACATAATCTAGTATTGAGAAAGCGAAACTTTGGACATAGTAATGTTCCTTTTATGTAACTGTAGTTCCTTTTCCTAGGTTCCTAGCGGCTAGCTTTCTAAGTTATAACTGCTCCACTTCATTCCGGTTGTAATGACTATCACTAGTCACCTATTTCTAGACAATACGGTCCCTTGACGTGGCTTTTCGTTATTCGCTAGTCTTGAAACTTTCGACAATTGCGTCAAGCAGTGCATGCTTATGGCATACAACAGGTAACAAAGTCCCAATCAATTTTCAAAGGCCCAGAATTTTCATGCTTAAGGCTTTTTGACTGCCGACAGAAAACTGTTGAAGGTAAATCCTCCGCTAGCTTGGCCCTAGATCTTAATCTAGGGCCCTCTAGAGCTCTTAAGCTGACGTGATTTAAATCAGATTGATGTGTAAAAATATCAATGATGATGATCAACCATTGGCTAGTTACGAAGTTACTCTATTATTTTATAGAGTTGTATCTTCGTAACTAGCCAATTCTTCTCAATTTTCATTTAGTTATAGTTAATATTAATTGTATATATAATTATATATTAAATAATTTTAATATTTGATAAAAAAAATAGATTAAAATCAAATGAATATACACGCCTATTATAATAATTTACGTCAAATAAATTCGTGGTAATTATTTTATTAAAGACGGTGTGAGGTATATAATTCACACAAATAAAGATTATATAGTCATCCCCATAAATGATATTTATAAGAGTGATTAACGTCATTATAAAATATTATGATAAGAACCCACTTCGTAATTAGTAACAAAATTCCATCAAAGGTAACCATGAATGAATGGTGTAAAATATTACCATAATAATAGTTGGTAAATCTTTGTACGACCTCATTACTACGAAATTTTGAAAACCGCAAGCCGTAGCCTTTGACTTCACCTTTTGAAAAAAAAATGCGGCTGAGAGCCGGACATTGTGGTTCCGCATATTGCAGTAAAAAGGTGGTTATTTGCTTATTTGTTTTTATGAGGGATTTTCCTTGAAAAACCAGGCTTTTTTGCATTAGCAAATACCTACCAATTACGTACGAGAAAAAAAACTCGACACTACACTTCAGATTGTACAACTCTGTACAATATACATTCTACTTTTGCTGTTTCTTCGAATCCGAATAGGCGGATACCTCTACTGGCAAGATACCTCTTCATTTTAATGTGAACCGGTTTTATTTTTATTTATTTTCAGCCATGATCGTTCCACTGCAGGGAATACTGTGTTTATCCCTACCCTACTTCCACTCTTCTCTATTTTTGCGGCCTTCAATCCTTGTTATACGTGTCCAATTTGTACCGCCACCTCCTTTTGGGCATCCCCGACGTCTATTGACATCGTATGTTAATACATTCTGTTATTATGAACCGTAGGTATAATAAAATTGCACATTATAACCAAGCCGACATGGACTAACGCCTCCTTTACTTTTTTCTTTCTTACTACCAGATCCCTAAAACTAAAGAACAGATCCTTAAAGATAACTTCGTTACCCGAGGTAAGTAAATGAGCAGTTATTTCTCGCTCCGCTCCGCTCAGTAAACAGGCCACTAAGAACTGTGGGACACTGGAGAAATGGGTCAGTGAATTCCAACGACGCCAGCGCCCCTTTTTGCACTTTTTAGCAACCGTCTTTCAGTGTTGCAGGGTAGAGAAAACTTGGCACGTAGATGCGGTATCTTGAAATGTAGGATACGAGGACTATTTGAAATGGATGGACGGTAATTACCTACTAGTTCTGAGTTCAAGTAGGTTGTGCTAAAGTTTAGAGTAGTTCTTTTCTATAAGACGGGTTCGCTAAGTTTAGTGTTTGGTTGCTTTGTAGGTTAAAGTTACAATTGATGTATAGTAAATCTATTGCGTTGGGAAAATAAGAAAGAAAAGAAGAATATTTGGTTCAGTTTTTTAAAGATGAATTTTGGACTACCTACAGTTCTATTTTTGGCTACGACGTCTGTTGACCTGTTGACGAACTTAACTTACTTATTGTTTTTAAAAATATACAACACATTACTCAATTGTTTTTAAAAATCGGAACTATTAAATAACAATTAGTGAATTTTATAATTATTTTAAGATGCACACGAAGGTAACGTCAGTCATCAATTAAAAGCGTGGCAAGGGCAATAAAAGTCAATGTCTATAGTTCAAGTTTACATGGGGTTACTGGCTATTTTAAATAACTACTACAGCATGTCGTTGCGGTAGATAACCATTTGACGAGCTACATTAATTTATACATAGTTATTTATATGATTGAGTTAATGTACTTAGATTACATGTACATTTGATCTTATCATCTGCCAAAACAGTTGAAAGATAAAAAATTGTGGAATAGTTCATGAATTTTTCATTAATTTTCTAATGATGTAAATTCTGTTGGAAGGTTTGAACCTTCAAGAGCATCTACTGGAAGTTTTGTAATAGTGTACGAGTACAGTTATCATCTCCATGTGTGTTTTTTGTGAGTATACCATGAGTATTGAGAAATAACATAGATAGATGTGAAAATTCGTCATAAGCAAAACCTTTTGTCATATGATCTCATCTCTTGGTACAACAAAAGTTACGACCTAAAATAACTTTACCACTCTTATACCTAAGTTATTCCTATAACTGCTGTAACATAATCCAAGCTTACGTAGGTACCATCTAAGAACAAGCACTCAAATCTGTAAGTAAAATTAAACAGACGAAAACAAAACAAAAAAAGAAAAATTCCGTCGCCAGCCATTTACGTCAGAAAAAAATGTGATTGATGCGTTCACGATTCGATATACAAAACAAAAAAAACAGTATATTTTGGACTATGTACGGCGAACGATGGCCGATTCGTGACTGATAGAGCACGCTGCGTCATATCGCTCCAAATCCCACGGACTCATTGCCAAAATGTCTAGATTGTAGGCATATCTATCTG